CAGTGGAGTGATGGCATCTCTGGCCGTTCCTGCCCTTTGTCACTCTGCTGTGTTTGTGCTGGCCATTGCTCCCCCTGAGCACACCAAGCTCAGTAGTGCTCACACACCCTGACCAGCATTAGGGACATGAAGGAGCCCTGGGCACAGGATCCACAGCAGCTTCTGCATGAACATGACAAGTGCTGGGGTTTATAACCCAGAAAATCTGGGCTCTGAAGGGCTCTATCTGGCGGGGTGGGAGGCGTGCCGCCCTGCCCAGAGCCACTTTTATGCCATTGTGCCTTTTCAGCACTGCATTAAGGCAGCCAAAGAAGGGGGATTTTTAATGGTTCCAGGGGAACAAAGCGGAAACATTCGACCCAACTTCATTACAGAATCATCTGAAACGCTTGAGGAACGTTTCCCACTAATTATCATAAATAGCCGAAAAAAATCTTTCCCTCCCAAAGCAGGTTCCAGCTGCCCCTCTGTGTTTTCTCACCTCCACTTCCAATAGCCTGACCCTGCCCCCACACAAAGGGGAGACCCCATCTCTGCTCCCCCCACACTCAGGGGCTCTAAAGAAATACAAACAGGCATCAGATTAACAGCACTTGTTTGCACCTTAAACAAACAGGAACTTCCGCCCCGCCAGGCTCTCTCACTGCCCAAGGGAGGATGCACCAGCTTGTTTTTCTTGCCCTTGCTCTCATGCCCTGCCCAATCTCTGGATAAAAGCCTGGACAGCCCAAGGCAGGAGACAGGATGAGAATGCCAGGGGTGTCAGCCCCCATCTCCTTGAGCCTCGTCCCTAATCTGTGTCCTCTTGCTGCCCCAACTGCCCCTGGGGAAGCCAGCCCCTGCTGCAGGAGGGCTGTGAGATGCCAAGGGCAAAGCAAATGCAGGAATGTCCCAGTTCAGCTCTTGCCCCATGTGTCTCACAGGGCTCCTTGCATGGCTGGATGGGTACTGTGAGTGGCTGTGGAGAGGGATGCTGAATAGGAAGGATGGAGAGGGGGACAAACCATCCAGAGGACACACAGAGGAGTGGTGCTGGTGTTCAAAACCATCACCAGCATCGAGCAGCACACTAAGCAATGACTGGCAGCCCACAGGCCATCTCTGCTGGCTGCAATAGGGGATGGATGAGTGCTGTACGTGCCTGTGCAGCCAGACCTGAGGCTGATCCCAGTCACTGCCTCCTGAGCCTGGGAGCTGCCCCAGCTTGTGTCCTCAGCCTGCAGATCCTATGTTGCCCATCCCAGCTCTCCAGTGGCATTGCCAGCATCTCTCTGCTCCTACAGGAGCAAGTGACAAACCAGCTCCTTCTTGCTCTGCCCACAGCTCCCCATGCCTCTCAAACCCCACCAGCAGCTTTTCAGATACTGCTCCAGCACAGCTTGGCACATGTCTGGCACCAGCACATGAGGCAGGCATGCAGGGAGGAAGCTGTGGCAGCGTGGCCACGAGCTGGGACAGGTTCTCATCACAAGCCAGCAGTGAGACTTGCCCACCGGAGGCCCAGGCTTGCTCCTCGTGCGGGTTATGGTGCAAATCCCCTCATGCAGGTGTTCACTGCCTCCCCTTCCCATGAGCCACAATAAAGAGTTTTGCTTGTGAGCCCCTTCCTGCCCATGCGGTGCCCCAGGGACAGGAAAGGGAACTGAGGCAGGTGGCAGGGACAGGCACCTCACCCGCAGCATGGCTGGCTCCTGGCAGGGCTGACATGCAGAGGGCTATAGTCATGCTGCAGCATGAGTGACAGTGCTCTGGGAACCACTTCTCACCTGCACAGGGCGGGAAGAGAGCCAGCAGCAGCTGCAGGAGTCCCAGGCCATGCTGGAGACCCCTGGTCCCAGCACCACTCAATGACACACATGTGTGGTCTCCTGTCTCTGGTTCTAATAGTTGGTCACCTGAGGCTGTGAGGGACTCAGGCAGTCACATCAACTGGGAAGAGGCGTAGAGTGTCAAAAGCAGCATGAAGCCACACGGGGATGCTCAATTTTTTTTTCCCGAAGTGAGAACCAGGAGCATGCTGTGCAAGGGGCAGCTAGCAGAGGAAGAGCAAAGCGAGCTGATGTCTTGTTCAGTGCATGGGCAATCCTGAGCAGCCCTCAGCACTTGGTGCTGTGAATGCTAAAATCTTACCTGAGTTCAGGGAAACCAGGGAAATTCAGAGATTAAAAACTATCAGCCACTTCCCAGTGCAGTAGCATGCTGCAAAGGGATGCCTGGGCTGCACTCCACAGAGTGGAGACAGTGGGCTGGGGACCCTGCACTGACCAGAGTGGATAGGCTGTGCTGGGGACCCTGCACTGCACAGAGTGGAGAGAGTGTGCTGGGGACCCTGCACTGCACAGAGTGGATAGGCTGTGCTGGGGACCCTGCACTGCTCAGAGTGGATAGGCTGTGCTGGGTACCCTGCACTCCACAGCCCTGCCCCAGCTACACACCCTCATTGCAGCGAGCTGCAGCCCTGAAGCAGCAAACACTGATCTCTCTGGTGCAGATCCCCCTGCTCTGCCCCATCTCCATGTCCTCTCTGGCTGCTCTTGCTCAGCAAGCAGCAAACTCAAGCCTGAGTCACCCTACAGGCCTCTCAGGCACATCACCCCCAGGACACCCCGCATCCCTCTAAGCTCCTTCCCTCCTGGAGTACACTGTTGGCCTCAACAGGGACAAATGGGAACAGCTGCTAATTCCTCCCAGCCCAGCCCAGCCGTAACCCTCCAAGGACTGGCCCTAAAGTGGTGGAGGGAGCCGAGTCTTCCCTGAGAGCCAGCTGCACCAGCCTGGCCCCGGGAACACGCACACTGTGTTTTCATTGCAAATTACAAATCGATCATAGGAGCAAATTCCCGTGCTGAGAACACCCTTGGCTGTTATTATTTTACAGCACTCTGAAGCACTTAGAGGTGTTCTGGGTACTTAGAAAGATATGGCCCTTTCGGGGTATTATGGGGCAAATTAGTTTTAAAAGCAGCTGTAGGAATGTTGGCCATTTGGCTTCCAGAGCCGGATGGGCACAGGTGGAGGCTGCAGGGCTTTGTGCTGCTTTTGGATACAGCACCTCCCTGCAAAGAGGGACCCAGCACGCTCCGGAGCCAACACCTCGTGCCTGACCCCAGCTTTATTAATAACCAGTAATTAATATGAGAGCGGACGTGCCTTGTGTCTCTGAAGACCTTTTAAGATGTGATTATGTTGTGCTAATCTCACCCCGAAGTACTTCCCTGTTTAGACTGCGCTGGGCCATTAAATATCTGAAAAGCCAGCAGAGACCCCCCCCCATCACCTCGGGAAGTGCTCGGGGTCTGTTCCCCAGCAGCCAGGCCCCGCTTTCAAACCCTCTAAATCAAGTATTAAGCTGAGTTCATCTGGATTGCCAGAAAAAACACTCCCTCCCCCTCATCTGTATCTCATTACCTGCTGTGCCAGCCCCGGCCCCGGAGCCGCTCTCTCCATCCCGCCCAGATGTGCTGCCCCGCTCGCCTCCCGTATTTCACAGCCGTCAGCAGCACTTCAAGGAGCAGCTGAAGGGCCTGTAACACTGCACAGGTTCTTAGCAAGGATGTATATCCAGGTCCCTAATGCACAGCTGCAGGCATGCACTCCAGCACAAAGCCCCTTCCCCCTCCCCTGGCCTTGCAGGGGAACTGGGGTGCTCAGGGCTCACTGAGTTGCTTTCCCACTTTTCCTTGTGAAACACACACGTCCAGACTATTGCTTTTCAGAGACTCTTTCCCTGGGACTCCCAAGTCAGGTAGTTCCCATGCCACACAACTGGGGAAGGCCACCCAAAGGCAGGACAAGATGGAGCAGGTGACAGCAGCAATGGCAAGGAGTTGAACCCTGTAGAAACTGTGATCAAATTTGGGAGCAGCTTACCTTGCACAGGGCAAAATCAATGTTGAACCTAGAGCAAAAAAAAAGGTACCTAGAGACCCAAATCAAGGGAACAACCCCTGTGTTCATCAGCTCAAATTCTCCTGGAATAAAGCTTCCCAGGAAAGGTTTCAACACTTTCTGTGATGGCAGAAACCACAGAGGAACAGCCACTTTTGTTTAAGTTTGGCACTTCCCTAGGCCTGGCAGGAGCCCATGACTGCGGAGGTGAAGGCTCTCATCAACCCTTCCTGCCAAGTTTCCCAAGAGAGCTGTTCCTATCCTGCAGCCAGGGCTCAGCACCAGGTGAGGTCATGGTAAAGAAGCACATGCCAGCCATGCTGAAATATCAGTCTTCCAGAGGGGCTGGGCAGGCAGCACCACAAAGGGGGTTTGGAGGACATGGGATTTAAGAGTGGGAAGAAAAACGGATCTATCGTCTGACAGTGCCACTGCCCGTGGAGGGTCAGCCCTGCTCCTACCCCAGCACTGACTGGGGGCTCCACACTCCAGCAAGCAACAGGTCAGGGCAAGAAAAGCCCCAGGATGAAAACAGTCTTCTCACCAGCTCATCAGACATGGAGAGGAAGCTTTAATATCAGGGAGGAGGAAAGGGAGAGGGGAAGAGGTGTGTGTGTGACGGTGGTACAGATACTGACACATCCTGTAACGTGGCACAGGGAACAAGACGCGGTGCGGGGCAGGAAGCCTCGTGATATGCTCCTCCAAGGACTGCAAGCACCTTCAGGGATGGGAGGAATCCGGGTGGGGCTCCTGACCCTCCATGGCTCCTGACTGACCGCGGGGGCCCGGCCGGCGGCTGCGGAGGCTCCGGCGTTCCGGGGGCCGCGGCAGGCGGTGGCAGCCACTGCCTGTGTCGGGATGCCATCTAGTGTCGGGATGCCATCTAGTGTCCCTCGGCAGAAGGGCCGCCAGGCAGGGACACCGCGCATGGGCTCGCAGGCTCCCAGCATGGCCCGGAGTCATCCCCCAACAGCCTGACTGCTGGGACCCCTTGCACTGGGATCGCCCTGGGATCCCCATCCCAGGGACAGCGCACCCTGCGGCCAGCACGGCTGCAAACCCCACAGGAGGACAGCTGGCACTACCCAGGTCATACAGGGCAGCAGAGCTCAAGGTGGCACCGGGGCTGGCTCAGGGATCCCCGGAGCAGCCAGAGCCTGAAGGCTCAGCAGCCTCACGGGTGGCCCGGGGGGGTGGCGGGTGTCCTGGTGGAGAAGGAAGGCGACCAACCCTCCCAGCAGTGTGCAGGCAGCCTGCAGTGCCAGCATGGCCAGCCCCAAGGCCAGGGACACCTGGCACTGCCATGGGCTGGTCCACAGGGACAGGCCCCAGGCACGATGACTGCTGGGGGTCAGGGGTGCAGAGGCTGGAGAGGGGCTGGTGCTGTCTGATAGTGCGGGGATGGGAGGTGTTGGGAGCAGGACGGTGCCTGCTGGGGCAGGAGCCTGCTGGGGAGCAGTGGGGGTGGGCTGGGCACCAGCAGTGAACGAGTCACAGGTGGTGGAATAGCCCCAATCCCTGCCTGGTGCAGGAGCATGCTGTGATGGTGAACGGGAGGCCAGCGGGACTGTGCCCAGAGCAGCAGTCCTGGGGAATGGCCAGGGAGCCACGGAGGGAGCTGAGACAAGGGGGGTGGTTATGGGTGTTCCCTGTGGGATGGTGGCTGGCCTCTCCCTGGGCACTGAGAGAGCAGGAGGCTCCTGTCTGGTGATGGCTGCAAGTGAGCTTGTTGGCACCCGTGTGGAGGCAGAAGCTGGACTGGGTGGCACAGGTTCTGGGTGGGTGGCCCCAGGAGTCTGTAGCCTTACAATGGCTGAAGTTGAAACAGCTGGTGATGGGGTGGTGATGGAAGCCTTGGGCACCTCAGCTGATGATGATGGTGTGACAGTGGAGGCCTTTGGCAGCACAGTGGGTGATGAGGTGGTAATGGAGGTGTCTGGCAGCACAGGTGGTGATGAGGTGGTGATGAAGACTTTTGGTGATGGTGTGGTGATGAAGGACCTGGGCACAGTGGTTGTTGATGGCTTGGTGATGGAGGCCTTCGGCAGCACAGCTGGTGATGGGGTGCTGATGAAGGACTTTGCCACAATGGCTGTTGATGGTGTGGTGCTGGAGGTCTTGGGCTTATTGGCTGTTGATGGGTTGGTGCTGAAAGCCTTCTGCAGCACAGCTGGTGTTGGGATGGTGACAAAGATCTCAGATGGCTTGGTTGGTGACAGAGTGGTGAAGACAACCTCCATGGGCACAGTTGGCAACACAGCAGAGGTGACCACAGGTGGAAGAGGGGTTGGCAGTGTCCTGATGGGTAAGGATGCCAGTGACAGCATGGCTGGAGCTGCTGTGGACACAGCTCCACGTGACAGGAATGTTGATGTCTTTTGTGATGGTGTGGAGTTAAATGGCAGAGTACCTGGGCAAATCAGGTGTTCGTCCCTCAGCAATGTTACTTCTTGCCCTGCCACTTGGGGTGGGCTCTTGCAGGAGACTTGGGTGGACAATTTGACCTTCTCCCTGTTGCCTAGAATCCAGCGGTGCAGGTAGCAGAGGTTACAGTCACATTTCCAGGGGTTACCACTCAGATACACCGAGCTGAGCTTCTTCAGAGGGTCTAGGAGCCCTTGAGGAACACTTTCCAGCTGGTTCTTTCGAAGATTGAGGGTTTTCAGATTTGGGAGAGAAGCAAAGACCTCTTCATCCAGAGCAGAGAGCTGATTTGTGTCCAGCTGGAGGTCCGAGAGCTTGCTGAGCCCAGTGAAGACCCCTCTTGGCAGGGCTGAGAGCTGGTTGTGGGACAAGATGAGCTTGCCAAGGGATGTGAGGTTGACAAAGACGCCCTCTGGAAGTGTGGCCAAACTGTTCCTGCCCAGATCCAACTCCCTCAAGTGTGGCATGATGTCAAAAAGGCAGCAGGGGAGCTCCATAATATGGTTTGAGCCCAGAGTCAGCAACTTCAGTTTGTTTAAACCAAAAAAGCTCTGAGGTGGGAGAACCCTGATGAGGTTGTTGTCCAAGAGGAGTTTCTCCAGGTGAGGCAGGCTCCTCAGAATCATGGGGGGCAGCGCCCTGAGCCTGTTCCTCTGGAGGCTGAGCTCCAGCAGCTCCAGCTGACTGTCTAGCAGTCCCTCTGGGAGCTCCTGCAACTCGTTCTCATACAGCCGGAGGACTTGCAGCTGGGTGAGTTTGCTAAAGGCATTCACAGGAAGAGCTGTGATCCTGTTTCTAGACAGGTCCAAAAAAGTTAGATTGACAAGAGAATCAAAAATGCCTTCTGGAAGAGAAGGAATTGCATTGATGTGCAGGGAGAGCTCCCCCAAACTTTCCAGGCCATCAAACAGGCCTTTGGGGATGGATCTGAGCTGGCTGTCTCTCAGCTCCAGCCTCTGTAAACTTGGGAGGTTTCGGAAAGTGCCCACAGATAGTTTTTCTAATGAGGCACCAGAGATGTCCAAGTCCCTCAACTTGTCCAAATTATCAAAGGCTCCAGGTTCAACAGTCTTGATCTTGTTGCCAATGAACAAAATCTTGGTTAGGTTGGGCATGTACCTGAAGGCACTTTTACTTATAGAAGTGATGCTGGTTTGCACAAAGATCATCTCAGAAACAAAGGGCTTTGCAATCTTTGGGATCTCTTTGACATCATTTTTTGTCCCTCTGTAGACCTCCTGATAGTCTTTGGGCATTTCATATGGATCTTCACCCAGGATTTGATCTTGGCATTTATGGGGATTGAAGGACAAGAGGAAAAGGAAAAGGAAATGCTGGTACATTGTTCTGGAAAAAAAAGTTTCAAAAATCAGTTATGAAGAGCAATAAATCTCTGTTCACAGCTCATGAACTGTGGTATCACACTTGTTCAGCTCTCAGGACTCTTCTATTCACATACCATGATTCATTTCATGAGAAAGAGAGACTGGACAAGCAAACATTCACTGCATTTACACGAGTTCACTGCTGCTGGTACCAAGGGATGGAGAGGGAAGGCAAGCCAGCCAGCTCATGGCTTCCACTGGGAGATGCTGCAGGAGGGACAAGGGCTGGACAGTCTGTTCTCTGGCCCTTCTCACATGTTTGAACTGCAGGCTCAGCCTGCCTGGGTGAAGAAGGCAAAGTGCTGCTGCCATTAGTGCTGCCCCAGCAGGTCCAGTTAGTCACAGGGCAGCAGCCCATTCATGCAACAACAGAAGCAGTCAGCCCTGCACTTGCTAATGAGGGATCAGCAGGGCTCCCAGGAGCCAGCCAAGACCACAGGACCTCGTGTGCTTAAAATTTCCACACTGTGCTAGGCAGACTTGCTATTTCATTTCTGCTTCTCTTAGTTCAAGGGGCTGATTTAAAACATGGTTTCTAAGCATCTCTTTTTCAGGATTCTTGGTAATTGTACCATATTTTGGCCTTGGTCATAAAGCTCCGATAGACAGAAATAGTTAACCTGAGAACAGCAACCAAGCTTTACAGCAAGGCTCATTAAAACCTTGGAATGTCCACAGATGAACTATTTAACACCCAACATTTGGGGCTCTGACCTTGCAGGTAGGAAGTGAAATCACTGATGCACACCTACTAGTAGAGCCCACTTAATCCATGGAAACATTTGGAAACACTCAGCTAACACATTAACTGGGGTTTAACTGCCATGAGCACCTCACTGGGACCATATTTCCAACTTTTAATTCACGGCCCTGGGTGGGAGCAGGGAAAAGAGGTACGAGTTTCTTCTTGGGTGACCATCAAAGCTGGCCATGCAAAAAAATCTTGTTCTAGGAGGGTAAATCTTCTATGAAAAGTTATTTTTTTTAAAGAACATAGAAACATCAGCAAATACAGGAGACTGAAAGCCACTGGGTTTGAAGATAATGGATGGGAGGTGACACTGGTTGTGCAGGCTGTCCCCCAGGGCTCAAGCCACTGCTGCTCCCTGCCCATCCTCTCCCCAGGGAGACTCAGGTGGAAGAGAAGGCTGTAGCTGTAGAAGTGCCTGCTTCACTTCTGCTGCAGGGGCAGTGCACTGGGTGAAATGTAGAAACATCTGAGGGTGTGAGGATGAAAATGGACAGTTTTGAACCACCAAACCCTTTTTAAACCCTCACTGTGGTCACGTGCTTGTCCCCCACTCCAGCCGGGCAGAGTCATGGAGAGATGGTCCCAGCTCATGGCACTGAAGCCTCCCCCACTTCTTGCTGCAAGGAAACATCAACAGCCCTCCACACCGCCCCTCCCAGCACATTTTAAAGAGCGCAAAAGAAGCATTTTGCATCACTTACTTGGCTGAGCACTTGCAAACGAGCCACGGGGAGAGCCATGCCATGGAGGAGTGAGGACACCAGATGGGGGTCTCATCACCTGGCCAGCTCTTTATCCACGTCCCAGGCACGGGGCTCAGTTTCACGTGAGGTCAGGACACCAGTCTGTGTGAGGAGATAAGGGACGGCCAGGGAGCTGTGCCCCCAGTGCAAGAGGCCACGGCAGAAACCCCTTGGAGGGGACGCAGTCACGTACTCCCCAGGCGTTATCTGCTGGCACCACTCGACTGGTCACATCCAGGGAAAGCTGAAGATCTCCAGGCCAGCCTGTTTGCAGCCTCTGTGGTCCTGTATGTCCAGCAGGATAACTCACCAGTTTCACAAACACCACCCTCATCGTCAGAACAGACAGCTGTTTCATTCCTCAGCATTTGCCTTATGTAGCTAAAAGTGCACTTCTGAAGCCATTTTTTAACGCTTATAAACAGTGAAACACTTGTGGCTCGACAGATGCAACAACCCCCGGGCTCTGTGCTCTGCCCCACAGCTCCACCTTGCTGACCCCAATGCTGTGTGCTGCATCCCAGTGCAAGCCAAAGACCCTCCCATGGTGACACCCAGAGCTCCTGGCTAGTGCAGGGCATCCCGAGGGATGCTCATTTTGAGGCAAACTGCCAGGCTATCCATTGCTTCCCAATGGGTAATTGCAACAATTGCATTTAAACTTCTTCTATTTTCACCTGTTTCTATAAAAGCTCAGCTTCTGCTTGCTGGGGTTCATTGCATTTTTTTTGGCAAATTTAAAAACAAACTACTGCACATTTTTAACAGCCTTACCCTTTTCCAGCGTCGTATCCACCCATGTCCCCACCGGGGCTCCCCAGCACCGGCTCTGCCCGCGGAGCCCGGTCCCGATGGCCACGAGATGGTGCCGCAGCACCGCCAGGCACGGACAGACAGACACGGGGACACTCGCAGACACTCAGGGACACTCGCAGACACCGCGGGCACGGGCAGGCACACAGGGCGGCCCTGACACACACAGACACAGGGACACTGTCACACGGACACACACACAGACACCTGTGCACTTACTACACCCACCTCGCCCTGCCAGGGGAGCACACGCCTTACCTGTCACCCCCGGGTGGGCAGCACTGCTGGGACTTTGTGCCAGGTCTCCACAGGTCAGAGTGAGAATCCCAAGATGGGAGAGGTTGGAAGAGACCAGTGGAAGCCATCTAGTCCAACTGCCCTGCTGAAGTAGGGTTCCCTGGGTACCCATAGCTCTGTTCACTTGGCTTTTTAGTATATTCAGAGAAGGAGACTCTACGACCTCACTGGACCTGTTCCACTCACCCTCACAGCAAAGTTTATGAGAAAGTTGCCACTTTCCATGTTCAGGCTGCAGGGCTGTACACCAAGCCCTGACAGGGTAGGAGTGGGACCTGCCTGTGCTCACCTGGGCTCCCCCTGCAGGCAGGCAGCTCATGCCCCTTGCTGGGCAATCAGCAGCACTCACCCACACCTCCCTTGGACAGCACAAATCCGTGCCCTCAGGTTTTGCCAGGCTGCAGCTCTCTTCCCTCTGTGGTGCCAAGGGGAGGTGGCTGCAGCAGGCAGGCATGAGCACACCATGAGAATGCCAGAGTGGCACCTACTCATGCCCAGGCACCTGCACTATGCCCCACCATGCAGCTCCTGGCAAGATCCCAATGTACCACATGGACCTCCACTGTCTCTCCCACACACACAGACAGTGGTGGGAGGAAGAGAATGATTCCTCTCTCTGCCATGGGAACTAGTACACAGAAATAATAGATACATTTTAATTATATTTGAAATACACAGGAAACACATAGCTGAGAGGGTAAATAGCCCCAGGGCAGCTGTTGCAGAGAGCTCGGGGACAGCTGGGGACCATGGCAGCAGTAGCAGAGCGAGATGGAGAGCTGTTTGCTTCCCAGGCTGGTCCAGAGGCTGCCAGAGCAGAAGCAAACGCCTGCCCAGGCCTTAGGGCACGGCAGGGGGAGCTGGTGGTGTGACCTCGCTCCCTCTCTGTGCTGTGACAAGGACGCTGACTTGCAGCGTGCCGCAGCGGGAGCGCAGCAGCCAGGCCCGCCGGTAGGCCGCCCCCAGGCCCCGCTCCGGCCCGGGAGGAGGGAGGCGCAGGTTCAGCTGCTGGCACGATGTGGCATTGCAGGCCACGCTCACCGTGCCCTCGGGGTCGCTGTAGGTGCACTGCCCCGGAGCATCTGTGTCCCAGCCCTCCTCCGGGGGCACACCGTGTGCTCCCGGGCACTGCAGCTGCCCGCGGGAAACCTCCAGCAGGGACCGGCCCTGGAGAGCAGCGGGATTGGCACAGAAGGCTTGGCCGTGGGTGAGGGGCTCAGCAAAGCTCTGGAGCCAGTGCAGGAGGTAGGAGAGGTGGCAGTCGCAGAGCCAGGGGTTGCCAGCCAGCCCCACACGCACCAGCTCATCGTTGGCATCGAAGAGCCCCGCGGGCATGCGGGCCAGGCGGTTGTGGTCCAGCACCAGGGCCGTAAGGAGGGGCAGCCCGGCCAGCAGCCCCGCCGGCAGCCTGGAAAGGTTGTTGTGGCTCAGCTGGAGCTCTGTCAGCCCTTCCAGACCCTGGAAAGCCCCGACGGGCAGGTGATCTATGGCATTGTGTGAGAGCTCCAGGGTTTCCAGCACTGACAGGTTTGCAAAGAGCTCCTGGGGCAGTGTCTCCAGCTGATTGCGAGCCAGCGAGAGGTGGAGGAGGCCAGGGGTGCCAGCGAACAGGAGGGCAGGCACGATGGCCAGGTTGTTGCCCTCCAGGCTGAGGACAGTGAGGTTGAGGAGACCCGTGAAGATGTCGGGGGCCAGGCTGCCCAGGGCATTGTGCTGCAGCTGCAGCCGCCGCAGTGCCCCCAGCCTGGAGAAGATGCCCGAGGGCAGCTCCTCCAGCCGGTTGCCGTCCAGGTGGAGCTCGGTGAGCTGGCCAAGTGCCCTGAAAGCACCAGGAGGCAGCCGTGCCAGCAGGTTGTCACTGAGCTTGAGGACACGAAGGGCGACAAGTGGGGCCAGCAGCCCATCCGGCAGCTCGGGCAGAGCATTCTGTGACAGGTCCAGGGCCTGGAGCCCCCGGAGTGGGCGGAAGATGCCAGGGGGCAGTGCCTCGATCCTGTTCCCTGCCAAGCTCAGGTCCTGCAGGCGGCAAGAGGCAGTGAAGAGCCCCGGCTGCAGGGTGCGGATGGTGTTGGCACTGAGGGAGAGCTTGCTGAGGCTGGTCAAGCCTGCTAGTGTCCCAGGGCTGACAGCTGGCAAGGGGTTGCCTGACACTTCCAGCTCAGTGAGGCTGGGCAGCCCCTGAAAGGCACCAGGCTGCAGCTCCTGGATGTTGTTTTTGATGAAGACCAGCTTGGTGAGCGTGGTGCTGGAGCCCAAGTGCCCGCTGCGGATGCTGCTCAGGGCTGTCTCCACAAAGAAGAGGTGGGTGGCACTTCCTGGCAGGCCCTCCGGGATCTCCCGTATCCTTTCACTTGAGCAGAAGACTTTGGAGGTGTCATAGCACTGGCAGGCAGGGGGGCAGGATGGGGACAGTGCCCCCACCAGCAGGGACCCCAGCCCCAGCAGCACGTAGATCAGCAGCCTGCACTGGAGAAGGAACCAAGCCTTAGCCCGTGCACCCACAGGCACTGCTGGGGAAAGGGCTTCTGCAGCCAGAAATGCAGGATCAAGCTCTGAGACACCACCAGCATAGGCAGCTGCCCTGGCCATGGGGATCACTCCAGCCCCTGCTGCCAGCACCTCCCCAGCACTCCCCTTGCAGGAATGGGAAGCATTTCCCTCCCAGCTGTCTTCCCAGGGTTTTTATCTGTGCCCCAGCCCACCGTGTGACAGCCAGGGTGATGCCACCCTCACCAGAGTTGGAGAGCAGCCACATCCTGCAGAGCAGCTGCTGAGGTGGGACCTGTGTAGGTCCCTGGAAGTCTTGGGGGAAACCTGTACCCTCATCAGATGTCCACACAGGCACAAAGCCACGTTCTAGGGCAGGAGAATCTGTGAAACACAGGGCTGTGCTGTGCACACTGGGTGATGGGAGAGCCCTGCAGGGCAGCTCTCAGGTCAGTGGCAGTAGCTGTGGGCCCCACCACTTGTATTTCTAGTTTTCTTTTTCCACAGGGAATCAGAGCAGCATCAACATGCTGGAGGGATATTCAGCCTGACCAAAAGCCTATTCCCAGCCCACAGAAGCACTTTTGGAGGCGGTGGCCCCCAGACCTCTGCCAGTCCCTCCGTAGCTGGGATACATTGCAGTGCTGCTTTGTGATGGGGGACATTGCCCACCCCAGAGCAAGGCCCACTTACAGACACCCCGCATCAGTGGAGCTCCCCTGGACTTACACTGGCACTTGAGAGCAGCACTGGCCTTGGCATTTCCTTCCCTCCCTCTTGCTTGTGCTCACAGAGACAACAGAAGCTCCCACCCATCCCAGGCCCCCAAACTACCCAAGCACTGTGGGCACCACTTACCAAGTGTGGCATCACGGGGTCGGTCACCAAATGTGTGGCAGATGTGCAGGGATGCTGCTGGCTGGGATGGGACAGTGTTTTCTGGGCGGATGGGAAGCCAGGAACAAGCTGTTCCTGCTGGGGCGGAGCTGCCCTCACTGCTTATCAGCAACAACAGCCCGTGTCCTTGGAGCACTCTGAAAAATAACCCAGCCTCCAGGGGACTGGAGGTGAGGCCAGAGGCAGCTGCCTGTGAGCACCCTGGCAAGGAAGTGGGGTTCTGGCCCCGGACATCCACTGGGGCAGGGATGGTGGCAGGGTGCTGCTGTCACAGGTGGCTCCAGTCCCACACCAAGGTCAGCATACTTGCTTCCAGAAACCTCCTAAGAGAGCCCCAGACTTTTATCAAATCTCACTGGGAAATGGTGCTTAAAATATCTCTGCCATGAGAGAAGAGACCAGGTGCAGCTTAGCAAGGCAGATGAAGGCTGTACATGAGGTTGGAGGTCTTTTCCAACCTTGTGATTCTCTGGGGAGGGGACCACTGTGGGACCATCATGGGGTTTTGCATCCCAGCCAGCAGTGGGATTGCGAGGGAGCCATGGATCAGCTGAACTCCCTAAGAGTTTCAGCCTGCCCAGAGGAGCAGCCCACACTGCCATAAAAGCTGCATTGCAAGGGCCTGTGTTGGCACAGGCTGGGCTGGCAGCAGCCATGGAGACACCCTGAGGGGCAGGAGGAGGGATACTTCACTGCACTCATGGAGCAGATGGTGACACATGGAAAAACACAGCTGACACAATTCAGTGGCAGCCAGCTCTGAGGGGAGCCAAGCAAGCTCCCACCACTCCAGCAGTGGACTGTGCAGGAGACAGGCAGCTTCATGGAGAAGCTTGCTGGGGTCTCAGCTTACTCACCAAAAGCCCACCCACTGCTGTTGTATGGCTTAGCCCTCCTTGGTCCATCATGCCAGGTTGGAGTCCAGGGACCAGCAAGGGCTCTGCAAACACAGCCCACAACCCTCTCCCAGCCTCGCCAACTCATACAGGCTTTTCCTCAACGCTGTAAAAATCTCTGAGGAGTGGAAATCAAGTGCAGCCCCTGTCCCTGCTGGGCCATTCCCCTGCTGCCCACCATAAAGGAGTGAATAAACAGCTCTTGGCACTTGGAGTGGACAGTGGCACTTTAATGAGAAGGTCACACATCAGCACCCAACAGCCCCGTGACACAGTCATGAGTCTCCTGTTACCATGCAGGACTCAGCCCAGAGGGGTGGCCCCTCACAGGCACCAGGCTGGAGCTGCTTGTACTAGCACTGGCTGCTGAGGTGCTGTGAGCAGCCAGCACTGCAGGGTGGACACCAAACACACACCTTGTCCCACAGCAGCAGTCCTCAGGCAGCAGTGCCACTGCAGCACACATGGAGGTGAGCTCAATCCCCCATGGTCGTGCTACAGCTGAAGAAGGCAGCTGGGTACAGGGGATGGCATGGCACTGGCACCCATTTGCAAACTGCAGAGCAGCCAGCACGCTGTGCTGCCAGCATCCCCCCTGGCCAAGGGCTGCCACCAGGCAGGGGCACTGGGCACACACAGGAGGGCACTCAAGGGAGTAAGAAGAGGATGAAGAAGCTTTGTCAAGCAGAGCAGGACCAGGTGGCTCACTAGCTGGTGGAGGGTGTTAAGGAAATGAGGACCAGGAATGGGGTGGAGTAGAAGCAGCCCCAACACGCCCCAGCAGTCCAGGAGCACGAGCACAGGAGCTTCTCCCATTCCCTGCAGACACTTCACACCCACTGTCCCACTCCTCTACCCTCACAGTGCAAGCCCCTGCACCCTGTGGGGCTGAGGCAGGGCGCTGCAGGCAGGGGCACAGCCACAGCAGGGTCAGCACCAGCATGCAGTGAGGGCTGGGGGGCTGCTCCTGCCCGTCCCTGATGCCAGCACACTGTCCCTGCCTCTCCTGGCTGGAGGAGCACAAGGGAAGGAGGCAGGAGCCAGGAGCAGGAGAGGATGCTGGCTGTGCTCTGGCCTGCCCTGCCTGCAGGCAGGGAGGGCAGCTGGGACGCAGCTGAGACACTCAGGGTGTGCCAGCCAGCCTGGAGCCCTGCGGGGAGCCCTGCCCAGGCACCGGTGAGTGATGGAGCAGCACAGGACACACAGCTCCCCTGGGGCAAAGGTGGCCCAGCAGGATGGCTCACACTGCCTGCCCAGGCAGGGGCAAGGCGGGAGGCATGGTGGGGGCAGAAGGTGGGGAAGAGGGGCTGGGCAGGGGTGAGGGCAGCAGGCAGCATGAGGGGGCAGCACTGCAGGGAATGAGGCAAGGTGAAGGATGGGGAAGTCCTGTTATTTGGGGTAAAGCACCATCATGGCCAGGCTGTGGCTCCTGGCTTGAGGGGTCCCTCTCTGCATCCCATACCTCAGCTGCTGGACCCGGGCAGGGAAGGAGCACAGAGGCTGCACTGGAGGCAGGAAGGGCTGGGGACAGGGGGCAGCCATGGGGAAGCCCTGTTGCAGAGCAGGGACAGAGCAAAGCAGAGAAGGACAGTGGTACACACAGCGCACACGGTGATGTTGTCCCATCTCAGTCAGCAAGGGCAGCTGATGCAGAGCCTCTGTCATGTCCTTTGACCCCCACAAGCACCTCTGCCCTCAGGGTCTGCCAGATACTCAGGCTTCATTCGGAGCCTTCATCCTCATGAGCACAACGTGGCTCTTCTTCCTACAGCCATAGACCACCAGTGCCACCAGAGCAGCCAGCAGGGCCACACTCACCAGCACAATGACTGCTACCACCACCCCACTCTGCAGGCGTGTCAGCCCCCACTGCCCCCTCTCTTCCTCCTCTTTCTTCTCCTCCTCACCCTCATGTGGGGAGGCTGGCAGCCCCGTGGGGGGCTCCATCGAGGCATCTTCTGCTGCTGAGGCATCATCTGAGGCTGCCACAGAGGTGTCAGCAGGCAGCAGGGTGCTGGGATGAGGAGCAGCAGCAGTGGGGGGCTGGGGGTCGATGAAGTGGTCCTGTGGCAGCCCAGCGATGGGGATGCCCTGCAGGGCGGGAGGCTGGGCACACACCGGGGGTATCTCACCCACCCTGTGAGGGTTCTCCTGCAGCCAGCCCTGCAGGGGCAGGATGCCCTTGTCACAGCGCCAGGAGTTGTTGTGCAGCCTCACCTCTCTCAGGGCCGTCAGCGGGGAGAAGATGCCAGCGGGCAGGTACTCCAGGGCATTGGAGTGCAGCTGCAGGTGCCGCAGCCCAGGGGTGGCCTTGAAGAGGCCCCTTGGCAGCGCCTGCAGCTGGTTGTGGTGCAGAGAGATGTTCTGCAGCTTGGGCATCCCCTCCAGTGCCCGGGCATCCAGGCGGCGCAGGGCATTGGAGTGCAGCGACAGCTCCAGCAGCTCTCCCAGGCCCTGGAAAGCCCCCGGTGGCACCGACCGCAGCCGGTTCTTGCTGAGAACCAGGAGCTGCAGCTGGGTCAGGTTGCTGAAGACAGCAGTGGGGAGGCTGGAAAGCTCATTCTCGTAAAGCCAGAGCTCCTGCAGGTTGGGCGTAGGCCCAAAGGCGCTGGGGGAGATGTCCCGCAGGCGGTTGACGTGCAGGGTGATCTTGGCAAGAGCGTGCAGGGGCAAGAAGACGCCGCTCGGCAGAGTGGTGAGGAAGTTGTTGGACAGGTAGAGCTTCTGCAGGTTGGTGTTGTGCACAAAGAGCTCCGGGGACAGCGTCTCCAGCTGGTTCTGGTGCAGCCCCAGCTCCTGCAGCTCCGGCAGCCCATCGAAGGTGCCCACTGGGATGTGCCGGAGCCGGTTCTCATAGAGCCGCAGCACCTGCAGCCGCGCCAGCCGCTCAAAGGCCCGGGGCGGCAGGCGGTCGATGTTGTTCCTGGCCAGGTTGAGCTTGGTGAGGCTGGTCAGCTGGTCAAACACCCCCTCCTGCAGCTCCTTCAGGTTGTTCCCGTGCAGCTGCAGCTCTTTGAGGTTGCTCAGATGGGCAAAGTGGGAAGGCTCAACCTGGAGGATCTGGTTGCTGGAGAGGAGCAGAGACTCCAGCTTGTCCAGAGGCTCAAAGACCTGCACAGGGAGCTCCTGCAGCTTGTTGCTGGCCAGGCTGAGGTAGCGCAGGTCGGGCAGGTTCTGGAAGGCCCCGGGGCTGATGCGAGACAGGAGGTTCTTCTCCACGCGCAGCCCGATGAGCAGGGAGGCGTTGCCGAAGGCGGCGTCGCCCAGCTCGGCGATGCGCGTGTTGATGATCTGCAGGGTCATGGCGTTGGCAGGGATGGGGCCGGGCACCGTGCTGATGTCGGCACCAAAGCACTCCACCTGGGCACTGCGGACACACTGGCACTGCTCTGGGCACTGGCTGCTGGCCAGCTGGATGCCCAGCAGCAGCAGCAGACACCGCTGCCAGCCTCCCTGCTCCATTGGGCCTGCAGAAAAAACAAAGGAGGGGGGTTCAACCCTGGGGGTTTCCAGCTCCAGAGTCACTGCAAGGGATGGGTGCTGCTTTTCCCCTGGAAAAGCCACCGAGGCTGTGGCCATCCTGCTCCCAGCATGGCAACGAGGCAGAAAAGGGTGGACAAGGAAGGCTTGGGGCAGGCAAAGCTTGACTCAGCCCAAGCAGGAGCTCAGAGCAAGACAGAGCTGGAGGCCACAGTGCCTGGCTGCCATACCACAGCTATTAGTGGCATCCCTGGCGTCCCAGCTCTCTGGGCTCTTCTGGCAGCCAGGAGTGTGGTTTCCTGTTTTACACAGTATGGTGAGCTGCTGCCAGCAGCACTGGCCTCCCAGCACCACCAAAGAGCCCAGACCTTCACCAGAGCTGGCTCCTGGCACCTGCAGCTGGTCCCAGCATTGGCCCAGCGCCCCCAGCACCCTCTGAGCTCTGAGCTCCTGTTGCAAATCCAAGAGCAGTGTATAGGGATGCTTTAGCTCTTTAGTCCAGTCCTGCAGGACCCTGGGTCAACAGCACCCAGCACAGGCTGGGTACAGGCTGGCCCTGTTCCCCCATCCCTAGCAGGAGGTCTCAGCCTGGCCTGTTTTTGCCATGAGTGGGGTGTCTGATGTGGGCATGTGCATACAGGCTGGTCCCAGGGGTGGTGCCCAGCAAAGCTCTCCATTACCCCTGAGCACAGACACCATGGACACCCTCTCCTCTCTCCTCTGGCCTGTGATCTTCCTCCCTCCCTAGATTAAAGCAGCAGCCTTGTGCCAGGCTGGCATGGAGCAGCCCCCCATTAACAGCTTCATGTGGCACAAGGGAGGGAGAAAACCTGCAGCTCCTGCTCTGAGCATGGCTCAGCCAGACAGGCACCTCAGGCAGCACAGGGGTCTGGCCACAGTGCCCCAGCTGGCACCCAGGGTACTGGGGAACAGCCCTGCCCTCCCCACAGGGAACACTCTTGCTCTGAGGCAGGGAGGGAGGAGCCCTCTACAAGCCAGGATGGTTTATGTTTCCCATATGGAAACAATCTGCATCCAAGAACAGCTATGTTTATAGCAAGACATTTATAAACTTCCCCAAAGTTCAGCACATCAAAAGCTCTGCTCATGTCACTCCCTGCTAAGGCAGCACTGAGAGCACACACACTGGAGCAACCTTCAGGAAAAGCAGCTGGAAACAATTGATATCTCTTTTTCTTCTAGGGATAAAAATCTTACAGACCAAGAGGCTGAACATTCTCTGCTGTTCAGCCCCTCAGCATCCCACTACTCCTAACATCAGCCCCCCGCAAACAGTACTTTGCCCCCTTTAATTTTCTCTCTTGATCATTGTCTAGGATACATTGCCTATGAAACTCTTTCAGCTCCCATAGCATCCAAGTGGTCTCACTTTTTCGGAGAACCCTTGCAAGATAAACATTTCCATCAAATGAAAAGGTGCTGAACATGCAGATCCCAACACTCCACCACCACCCCTCAGAGCTGCCCTGGCAGTCCCTGGAATCCGTGTCCACTCAGAGGGACAGCAGGAGAAGGAGACTTACCCAAGTGTCCTGCAGCCACGAGCAGCGAGCGAGCACAGCCCCGTGCTGGCAGGAGAGCAGAGTGTGGTTCATTCTTCCCCTCCCAGAATATAACCCGTCCAAATCAATGAATCAGCACAGGGGCAGTGGCGGGGTTAGGGAAAGCGCTGGAGCAGAGCTGCTTCCAACTCCTGTTTCCTCAGCAGAGCACGCATTTCAAGGATCACTTTTGGGTTTCCCCCTCCTGAACCCCAGTGCTCTTGTAAGAAGACAAGCAGAGGGCCCTGTGAACACACTGCTCATGTCAGCCAGTGCCCAGCCAGTGGCTTGGCCCTCAGAGTCCCCCTGTGGGACACAGCCACTGACCCATGGGGGCAGACAAGCAAAGCCAGACCCCTGGGCACAACAGTATCCTTCCCTGGCATAAGTCCACACCAGGGCTGCTCCATGGCACTTCCTTGGCACAGGCACAGCTCTTGTTTCCCCATCCATGGCTCCTGTAAGTGTCAGGACCTCGGGCTGTGCCCCAGCCCAGGGCCACCAGTGCAGGCAGAACCCTGGCACAGAGACCCTGCCCAGGTCACAGCTCTCATTCCCCCCACAGCCACAGATGCCAAGGGGCCACAAACCCATGAGCACCCACTGTGGGCTCTGTCCTGTGGGCACCACAACCAGCACTGCCAGGAAGCAAGACCTGTGCCAGGGTCAGCAGCTGTGTCGGTGCCAGGCTGCTTCAGAGAGCCCTCAGTAATCCAGAGCATTGCCCATAAGCCACGAGGAACACCTTGGCACCGAGGAACCCCCACTGCAGGCATCCCTGGAACCCCAGACAAGCTGTCTCCCAATGGCTGCCCCTGCTCTGCCCCCTCAGCAGTCCTGACACACAGGTGATGGAGCCTGGTACCCAGGGGTGTTTGGAAAGCATCCATCAGCTTGTTCAGGGGCACCTGCTGCCAGCCCTCCCTGCCCCTCCAGCACACAGGGGGGCACTGGGGTGCCCTTGGGTCCCGTCACCCAGCCCAGGTCCCCCCACCTCGCCCACCTCCTCCGGGCAGTCCCGGTCCAGCCGCTGCCGGGAACGGATATTCGGGAGGAAGGAGGTGAGGAGAGTCAGTGCACACGGCCCCTTTGGGCTTCCTGGAGAGACACTGCAGTCCCTTGCTCAGAACAGGGCAATGGGAACTTCCCTGCCTGCCTCCAATCCCCTCTCACCCCACCCCACCCGTGCCTCCGCTGTTGCAGCAACCTCTGCTGAGGTTCCGGTGGCACCGAGGAGCTGCTCAGGACGGGAACAGCTGGGGCTGCTGCCGGGGAAGGGAGGAAATGTGTCATGCTGTGAGCGCTGGGAGCCTGCAGGGCAGCTGAGGGGACAGAGAGGGACCAGACCAGGACAAACAGCAAACTGCAGGGATGGAGAGCAGAGCTCCCAGACAGTCTCAAAGCAAGGAGACAGGGATCGTGGGAACATGGCAGGGAGTGGGACCTCAGCTGGAGGACACGGCCACCATGATGTCACATCGCATGAGAAGCCATCTGCCATAGCACATGCTGGATGGCCACAGACCCCTCTGGCTGGAAAGTGGGTGAAACTACCCCTGGCCATGTTCCTGCCTGCTCTGGGGCAACACCCAGGCATTTGGGCACAGAGAATGGGCATTTTGAAAACACCACCCACCAAGTGCTCTAGTTCACACTCTAGTGACACAGCAGTTTCCCAGAACCACACTTCCCAAAACAATCTCCCCGTTTCTGTGACAGCACTGCAGCTGAAGGTCAGGCACAGGGCTTGGGAGCTGCCTGCTCCCTGCAGCCCTGACACAAGAGCTGGACTCTCACAGCCTTATCACAGCCTTGTCACAGCCTTATCATGGCTCTGTCTACCCGCTGCCAGTGCTGCTGGGCTTTTGCCCACTCTGACTCATCCAGAAGCTCACAGCTTTTCAGCCAGGCAACGCAGAAACCGAACCTCAGCACTTCCAATAAACCACTGCCCCAGCCCAGATCATCCCAGGAATGTTGGAGTTGCCTCCTTCCAAGCAATGATGCAGTGATGGGTACCTCAAAACACCCTGCCCCAACTGGGGGGTCATCAGATTATGGTCCCTACTACCATGCAAAGTTTCAGAGCAGTGCAGGTAACAGCCCTGACAAAACCCTGCCTGCCTCTACCCAGGCCTCAGGAAACTGCTTCTGGCTTCCAGCCGGAAAAGATGATTGTTTGCAAAACATGGCTAAAAATAAAGCAGGGCTGAGTAACAAACGGCACACGCCCGTGAGCCGCTTCTGCAGCCACTCCCAGAGGTGAGCACACGGGGGGCTGCCCCAGGCTACTTGCAGGGAGAGGAACAGAGGGTGTGACAGCTTGGGACTGCAGCACAGACTCATCCCACACATTTGGAGGGGAGAGGCAGCTCCTGAGAGAGCAAACGGATGTGATTGAGGGTGAGATGAGCATTTTGCAGGGAGAGGCTGTTCCACATAGTCAGGAACTCACACAGTGCTGGATGGAGTGGGTCTCATGCTGCAGGAAAGCCCCAGGTTCAGCATTGCCTGGTGGAACTGTCCCAGCTCCAGCTGCACCAGCCAGAGGCTGCAGCCCCCCGACCAAGCCCTGGACAGTGTGGAACCACTGTTGTATCCCTGCACCTTCAAGGAGACAATGGAGCCCCAGAACTGCAGTGTCACTTATTGCTGGAGCTGCCTGCCTTGCTACAGGTCAGCAGGACAGTCCCGTGTCTGTCTGTCCATACTGGCACATCTCCAGCACATCCCCAAGGCCAGGGTGGCGGATGCAGCAAAGCTGAGTGGCTCTGAATCACCAAGGGACTCGAGACTGCTTGGAAAAACGCATGTAATCGCTAAAATTAGCATTGTGGGCTTGGCTGGGAGAGCACATTGTTCATCTGCCAAGCAGCTGAGCGTGCTCACCCCCGCCATGCAGACACAGCTCCCCCTGAAAGCCCCTGCTCCTGCTCACCTCCACTCCTGCCTGAACTGACACCCTGGGCAGGGCGAGCTGTGCCCATGGCCTGCAGGGCAGTGCTGGGACCCCCCAGTCACTCTGCACTGCTGCAAAGTGCCCACCCTGCTGTGAACCCCCAGCCCGGTGGCCCCCGGTGCACACAGCTGGCCCCAGGCCAAACTCTGCTGAAGGGGAGGAGGAGGATGGAGGGCTGGGCTGGGGCCACAGAGGGAGTGCTCCCCGTGTTCCAGCACAGGCGGACACCTCTGGGCCTGAGCCCTGTAGCAGGACCCACAGGCTCACACCACAGCTGAGGGGTGAAGGAAGGGACATTAGACCCTCAGGGACTGTGCTGGGGCCACCTCCACCCTTAGAGAAGCAGCAGCAGTCCCTGCCTCACCACGGGCCCCCCTAGTGCTTTCAGGAGCCCAAATGAGAGAGCTCCTCCATAGGGCCAGTGATCCAGCCCTAGGGACATTTTCCCACCCTGCCTCCGGAATGCAGGGCCAGGGCTGCCTCACTGCTCTGCCATCATCTGTCCCAAGGGACGGGGACATGCCTGCCTTCCCTGGGAAAGTGCTTATGGAGCTCTGGGAGGGAGCAGCAGCAGCTTTGCTTAGCAGGGGCGGCCATCAGGCTGACCTCCATCCCAGCACCAGCCCCAGGCCCACCACAACCCTCCTGGAGCTCCAGGAAAACGGCATTTAGGATCTCAGGCTCCAGTGGGGTTGGCCCCAGCAGCAGAGCCGCCCCGGCCCGAGCGATAGCAGCAGCAGCAGCAGCAGCAGCGGTGCTTGGCCCCGGCTTCGGCAGCGCTAGGCTGGAAGGAATGCGGGGCCCGGCCAGCTCCGCCCGCAGGGATAATCCGGAGCGGAAAGAGCTTGTCCTGGGAGAGGGGGCGGCGATGGCAGGGGCTCATACGCTGAGAAATGTTCCCTGGATCAGCTCCATCTCTGTAAAGCTCCCTCTGGCACCACGAAGTGGCCCAGGCACCTCTCCCCAGCACACGAAGGGGGAACGGGGCCTCGTCTCTTCCCAGGAGAAGCCAGCAGAGGAGTGAACAGCAGACTGCAGAGCTGCTGCCAGCCATCACTGGCTCTCTGCCCTGAGCTTTTTCCATGCAGAGAGACACAAAGGCACAGCTGGAAGTCTGGCATGCCAGTCCTACACCAGCAATTGCTGAGCCTAGTGCTGGATGAGTCCGGGTGCTGCTGGAACAGAAGCTCCCAGCCTGTAGTGAACTGGGACCCACCCCCCTTGGCCCAAGTAAGAAACTACCCCAGGACTTTACCCACTAACACCCACAAGTGAGTATAAACCCAGATTTTGGCTACAAAAATGGAGGCATAACACCTCCCTCATTTGCTACTCCCTAGCTGGAACAAAGCAGGAGCTTCAGGCCTTCTGCTCACCGTGAGTCTGTAAACTCTCATGCCTTGTCCATTGGGAACATGCCTCGGGCTGTGTCTCCTCCCAGGTCTTCTGACATCCCTAGGAAATGCTGTGATATCAGAGCAGCCAAATCAGCAGCCCTGGGCCAGCCCTGCTGGTTGGAGGCCTGGAGGAGACACAGCCAATGCTCCATGACAGGCAGAGGCTCCCAGGGCTCCTGCCTCACAGCCAGCAGCTGCATCACTCCTGAGCCACTGCTGGGGCCTGCTCCAAGCACATCTGCCATCGCCCTACTTCTCTTTGACATCAGGACAGGGAAGATCTGAGGTGCAGGCTCTGATCTTGCTGCTGTGCACTGGAGGACTGAACTGCAGCTGCCCAAGCTCACTGCCCTCTGCAAGCAGTGACAAGGGCCCTGCTGCAGCTCCTGCTCTCAGGAGGCAGAGCTGTGGGATGGAAAGGACCAGGACACCAGGGACACCAGGAAAGGATGTGTGTGCTGGAAATGCTTGCTGCAGTGGCTGTGAAACAGGCAGAGCTGCCAGTGTTTGTGGCAGCAGTTCATTCAGTTCCACCCTCAGCAGCTTGTGCTTTGGGGACTCTGGATTCAACTCCCAACAAGCAAAGGAGAATGGCATTTGTGGTGACATCAAGCTGGAAACACAATGAATAGTCCCATGGCTTGGCACAGTGTAGGTCAAAGCTCCCACTGCTCCAGGATTTCCTCAACAGAGAGAGCAGGAGCAACTGCTACAGCAGCACTTGAAGGGATGGAGCAAGCTGTGACTGGGCTGGCACAGATGGCCTAGTGGGGAGGTACCCAAGCACTCCCAGCCAGGATGTGGTCCTGGAAGCAGGTCCTTGACCTGGAGGTCTGGATAACGTGCAGGGCTGTTAACCATGACTCTGCACCCCCATTTGGAGCCAAGAGAGAAGAACCAAACCCTTCAGCCACTGTAATGCATGTGCTTTGCATTCACCTCTTCCCCAGTATCAGGGACCCACTGGATCAGGGATTAGGTACCTCCAGTTTCTTACCTCCAGCCTGTGTTCCCTTCCAGCCTGGTGGCAAAGGCTGGGCAGTAGATGATGCAAGTGTGGGCTGCAGGGACTGGGAGAATCCTTGCACACAAAGGAACAGTGCTTTGAGGGACCAGCCTGCTGCCTTCCTCCGGCCACAGCTGCATCGTGCTGACCTGGACAATTAACCCTTCTCCAGGAAAAACAGAAATGGGGTATGCACAAAGATATCCTTGGGTTTCTCAGGCCAGGGAATTTTTCAGGAAGGGCTGAGCTCTACTGGGCAAGAAACAATGAATCAGAAGCAGCTCAAAACAGTACACCTCAGAGGAAAGTTAGTAAACCACCCCAGGCACTCACTGCTCCAGCCTTTTGTTGTCTGATGACTTCACTTCCCCGTCTGGCTCAGGCATGGGGAAAGCCCGATGACAGCATGTGAGGAGGAATCATCCTGGAAGAGGAATCATCCTGTCCTAGCCTTGCCTGTGCACAGCTCTGTGCCAGAGCCCCCACGTGCCAGAGCTGGAGCTCAGCGGCCGCAGCAGCAGCCAAGGAGCAGCGTGGGGGCCCAGCGTGGGCTCTGCAGGGCCAGGGCAGCCAGAGAGGGCTCACAAAGGCACAGCTGGTGCTGCCCTGGGGTGGGCAGCAAGGTGTCACACCCACACCATGGGCAAACAGGGGCTTTTCCTCACAAATCAGACACTGTGCATCCAAGCACCCAGAGCACACTTCCTTCACTGAGGTAACGATCCCCAGCATGGTTTGTAGAAGTCAAAGACAGAATTTCCTCACTAGCCCTGATATCCTGACCTGCCTGCTGCAAGCAGCTGCCTGCGTGGCACCGTGTGACAGCGCTGAAGCTGGCACAGCACTGAGGGGTTATTACAGCTGTCCAACCAAGAAACTAAATTTGCAACAACTCTCTCTTCTTAAATACTACATGCAACCACCCAGAACCACCACTGAGAAAGCTCACTGCTGGTTTTGTGCTTCTCTCAATCATATTGCAGTAAATATTCTGGAGCATCTGTTTGTGATTCCAGTCACAGCTTGCTTTGCACCACTTGCAGTGACTTGTGTTTCTGCTTCTTTAGAGATAGCTCTAATTCCCATTTAGCCTGGTTTGCCAAAGTTTGTTAAACCTCACCAGCAAGACAACGATCATTTAACACTATAGAAGCACATTCTCTCTTTTCAAAGAGGAATTTAGGCCCAGCAGCAGAGCACCCTGAAACAAAGAAGTCACAGTTTATTCTTCATGCCTACAGTAACACACAGCAGGGAATCAACCATAACCAACCTGCAGGAAATGCAAGTTTTCTTCACCTCAAATCTGTTATGCATTTAAAGGCCATCCATGAAAGTCCCTAATAGTGAGAAAGTCACTAAGGTTACAAAATTACTCCTAGAGTAGAGGCTCTCTAGCCCAAGAAGCCAGGGATCCCCACCCACAGGTTTTTAAGCACATCAGAGCTTTTAAGAGCAAATGAAGTCCCATAATGTAGATAAAAGCTGATAGTTAAATCCAAGAGCTACTAAAGCACAGGCAGTCTGACAGCCACCAGTCTACCTATGAACTAAAATATTCATACAATTCAAAATACTAATAAAATGTTAGTATAAAGACCACAACCCACACTATTGCCTAGTAGTTGCCTTTGCACATCAACACTTGAAAGGACTGGAAGTCAGGGAATAGCAGGATGTAATAAGGTAAAAAGTAGTGAGACTGAAAATGTGACTGGACACTCCAAGTTGAAGTTGTATATGTTCCCCAGCCAATTTCAAAATGGAGGTGACACTTTGCGGCCCTCAGTTCAGGCAGGCTCCCTGCCCCTCAGCTGCATGCTGCTGTTTTGCTGGCCAAGCCCAGGAGAGACCATTCTTTTCTCTCCCAGCTCAGTCCAGATCAGCTCTCAAACCAATTCGTGCCTGTGGAGCCCCTCCTCAGTCCTGGGCATCCTCCTGGTACTCTGGTTTCAAGATTCCCTGCATCATGCAGCCAGGAATTCCTTGTTTTTTCAACCACTGGCCAAAGTTTAAGGATGAAAGTGTTTACTTAAAATTAAAACCTCCAATCAAACAATAAAATACATCATGATTATACTTCCTAGCTCAGCATCTTCCTCTGCTGTTAGCTTTGATTGGTATCCCTTCCTCATGCCACGTCCTGGGAAGGGGCTGAGGACAGAAAGCAGAAGTTAAGACACTTCACCACACCATTCTGCACACATCCCCATTGTTTAAAGGTCCTTCCCAGCATCTCCTCCCAAAACCACCATTTTTTTTTTCTCAGTAAGGAGACAAAAGATGGCAGGCAGTAGAGGGAATAATATTATTGGAGTCCTTTGGGCGATGTCTAAAGCACAGCTGAAGCCATGTTCCTATGTAAGAGTTCCTCCATTGATGGCACTCCATCTGAGCAGTGAACACTCAGCAGGCAGCAGCCTCTGGCAGAGGACAGGGCAGCACACCAAGGCAGGAAACCCACAGCACACGTCTGGAGGTGACCACAGTACTTCCATCTTGCCCTCTGGGTTCATGCACTAAGTGCTGTAGCAATTTACAGTGATTACAGCCACTCTTGGCAAATGCTGCAAGGTGCATAAAACTCATTTCCATTATGTTATAAAGGCAAGGTCCTTATGGTCTTTGCTATGAAGATCTGTAATCAAGTATTAACTGCTCAAATGTTCAAAAAACATCCAAAGCAACACTTCCAGTTCTTTCTTGGGCTAGATTTCTCTATCTTCTTGATATTCTTATCAGAACTACAGGCTGAGCAGGAATATTTCTGGAGAGCAAGAGTTGCCTGGTGTTACCCATCACATACAGACTGAGCACAATGACTACAGTCTGGAGTGTTAAAATCAAACTGTGAACACACAAGAGTAGCTGGCAATAAGTAACTCTGATATTAAAATAGGGTTTAGCACTGCTGTGGGCTGGAAACTCATCCCACCAGACAAGAGTAGTTAAATCTGTCCCTCTAACACTGCTGGTTCGTGCTATGATGCTGGGAGAAGTTTGGACTGGAACATCTGAGAAATGCAGCCCAGGTTGTCCAACATCTTCAACATGGGAGTAGGTAAAACTTGGAGTTGCAGGAGGAATGGATGTGGGCATGCTGGTGATTTCCATGTCAGACAGCACTGTTACAGCAGTCTCCTGAGGTGATGTGAAGTGCTCCGTCACAGGAGATGTCAAAGTTGAGCTGAACGTCTGATAGGTCACAGCTGTGGTTGGCAGGCATTCCAGGTCATCGATGCTTAGAGACACAAGAGAAATATTCTGCAGTGCCAGTGGGCTGTGGCACATCAGAGATGGCACATTTTTAATTATTGCTGTGCTCTTCTGGAGCCATTCTCGGAAGCCAAGAATTTGGCAATCACATTTCCAAGGGTTGTCGTCAAGGACAACTTCTTCCAGCTCAGGTAAAGCAGTAAAGAAGTCTGCAGGAAGAGACTGCAGGTTAGTACTATTCAGGTAAACTTTCTGGAGGTCCTTGAGATTATGAAAGAGGTTTCTAGGAAGAACCTCAAGCCTTGTATCAAACAGGGAAATGTTCTGCAGTTTCTGAAGGCTCAGAAAGATTCCCTCTGGCAAACTGGAAATATTACTTGTATGGAGAGAAAGGCCCCGCAGTTCATTCAGGCCACTGAATACATTCCTAGGAAGAACCGTAAGCTCTGGGTTAAAACTCAGCACAAGAAGCTCTAAATTTGTCAAGTTACTGAACACAAAATCTGGTATTGTTGAGAGCTTTGTGTGATACAGCCATAGGCTACCAAGATGCCTCATCTCTCCAAACAGCACTTCTGGAAGAGACTTCAGTGGGTTCCTGTACAAGGTCAGTTTAGACAGGTTGTGCAAGTGCAAAAAAAGCCCAGAAGGCAAAACCTGAAGCCTGTTCCTGGAGAGTGTCAGCGTTCTTAGTTTACCAAGACAATGAAATGCATCAGGGGCAATGGAATGGATATTATTGGAATGCAGGAAAAGCTCCTGCAGCTCCTTCAGGCTATCAAACACACCAGACTCTATTGAAGACAGTCTATTAATATACAGCATCAGCCTCTCAAGCCTGGCTAATGCACTAAATATATTTCTAGGCAGTGCTGCTAAGTAATTTCTTGACAAGTTCAGTACTCTGAGTTTAGTGAGTTTCTTCATCACACCACTGGGAAGTGCTGTTAGTTGGTTTTTGTTCAAGTAAAGCTCCTGCAAACCAGCCAGTTTGTCAAACAGATTTTCCTCAATAGAATTCAACCTGTTACTTTCAATCATCAATTGCTGAAGCTGCACCATGTCATCAAATACTTCTGGTGGAAGTTCAACCAGCTTATTATCCAGCAGTTTGAGGACTTTTAGCCTTCCCAAGCCTTTAAAAGCCATTGGTGAAACCAGAGCGATGTTGTTTGAAGACAGGATGAGATGCTGCAGTTCCTCCATCCTAGCAAAAACATCCTGCAAGTACGATATGTTAGCATTTGTTATGTGAATTTCTGTCATGTTGCAAGGCAGATTTAACAATTCCAGGTCTTTTATGTGGGGGCCAGAGCAATAAATTGCATTTTTTGAAGAGCAGTCACAATTCTCAGGACAAATAGATGCATCCAACTGGAAGAAAAGCTTGATCATCACTGACAAACGAAACACCAACATCCTTGCTGAAGTGCCAGAAACATTAGCTGTTACAAGAGATAAGAGAGAATCAGGATTTGATCACAGGTAACTTAGCAGCTCACAAAGATGTGTGATTATATCATAAACCTGCATATGTGTGCAAAATTTCCCGTGCCTTGAAAGCAAACTTCAAAATCTCTTTTATTGTTGACTGCCAGTATTTCTGAAGTACTCAGCTTACACTGAGAAGTACAGGTAAATTAATTTTTGTAACTCAAGTACTTCTTGTTTGTATTTGTACCAATTAACTATAATAAAAGTATACAAAAATCATGATGAAACACTTAAGTAGTCAAAAGACATATTTATTTGAACAGAAAAGCATTACAGAATTACAGAAGGGTTTGGGTTGGAAGGGACCTTAAGGATCATCTCTTTCCATCTGACAGGGACATCTTCCACTAGACGAGGTTTAGTGTATTATACTAAATTACATGCCAAAAATATTTTCAAAAATTATCAAAAGGTCCTGCACTCACTGTGTTTTTCATTGTAAGTTATCTGAGGTTAAAAAATAAAGTTTAGCCTGCAAAAATAGACAATGGAGGTAAAAAGGTTGTCCTGTTCTTTAAGTGGTGAAAAGCAAAACAGCACCGTCCAGTTAAATCCTGTCTCAGCATTTTCAAGTGATGGCTTCTTGGAACAGCCCAGGAACACACAAGAAGGAACAGGCTATTTTTGACACAGCCTGAAATAGCACAGAAGACCCCATATGGCACAGGACAGTACTGAGCCTCTGACAACCACCAAGCCTCATTTCAACAGCTTAACACAATACCAAGCTATCAGTAGTGGAATTGGAAGTACAGTAAAATGAGAGGAAAGAAGTGCACAAAATTAGATGGGAAGTTGTAGCAATAAAGGCACATCTGCATGAAACACACCACAAAGTTGGAAAGTTGCACACATCTCCAAACAGGAAAGCAATCCTTGTAGGTATAAATGGTAATATTTAAAAGAGCAAGTCAAACAGAAACCCACAGAAATACTTCCTCAATGAAATCAACAAGTCCAAGTGTATCAGAAACCTGGATGTCAAGCACCTGGCTGAGCAGCAGAATAAGCAGCAACTGGGACCACTGGAATAGTTACAAAACTTCCACAGATGTAACTGGGATAGCTGACACAACATCAGCCCTCTGCACCAGGAACATAGAGGAGAGGAAGGCTCCATCCCCACATGCTCTTTTTCAGGGGCAAGGATGAAGCTCTCCCATACCAATCCCACAAACAGACTGTTGGGTTCAACCCCCTTCACTGAAAGAGAAACCCAAAACAGCTGCATGTCCAAACCAGCTACTGCATTAAAAAAAAGCCAGAAGAGCAAAAGGGAGTGCTTTAAAAAAATTTAAATTTTATTCAGCTTCAGAGTACTGAAGTCTGGTAAAATGTCTAACTCTCCCTCAGGAAGGGAAGGACATGGCATTTAGGGCTATCAACAACCAGCAACACAGTCCCACAAAACAAGATCTCAGTGGGCTTTTCACAACTCATTGAATGAGACATAGGCATCACCAAAAAATAGCACAAGGTTCCACTCTTTTAAAGGTCTTAAGTCTTTCACGTGTCAAACAAGAATCTTTCAGAGAATCTCACCCTCCTAGTAATCCTCCCTACCCCAAAACTTTGTCATAAGCCAGTGATTCTTTTACCTCAATGAATTTGTAACTCAGTCCATCTCTGATCCTACGTATCCCCATGAGCAGAACCCTCCATCCAGAAACACATGAAGAAATTTCTGTTTCAAGCCCTGACTTGAACCAAATGGATGGAAAAACACCCAGTTTCTTATGCTAGAAACTGCAAATGCAGATCCTTTGGAAGGTATGACTACAGGCCACTCTGTAAAATCAGAAACAGACTAACACCAGCCTGTAGGTTCATGATGAGTGTTTTCTTTTTCCTGGTGTTGTAGCAAAAGATAAGAAAGTATACAAGAAGACAAGCAGATACTCAGAAATGCTAGAAAGCACTAGTTTTGACAAACAGCAAAATGTTTGCTGTTTCTTTGCAAGACATGAAGGCTGTAAGTGCTGTCACAAGAACTGGAAAAGCCTATGGGTCTCAAACACCTAGAGCTGCTAACAGTATTTTTTAAAGAGACATTTAAAGATTTTAACAGTACAGAATACAGTAATACCCACAATAAAGATAATGATACATTCCCATACCTTAGAATTCTCTCAAACCCTCACATGAGACAGCTGGCATTCCAGAAAAGGCACCAGCATGTCTGGTCACTTAACCAAAGCCTGCTCTACAGCCTTTCCCTTTCAGCTCCCCTTCCCCACCACCCCAGTATTTCTCAAGACTACAAAAGGATGCCAGAGGCAATACATTAATGCTGTTACTATATCAGAAGTCTCAAATCAGTTTTGAACTTACAGAACACTGAGCACATGTACTGCTTACAGTGGTGCTTACCTCTTTTACTGTCTTGCAAGTTCCTAAACTCATACAAGCATGACAAAGAAATTTTGAGCTGTACCTTAGAAACTTATCTGCTTTTTAAAGGAACTTACTAGGAGGAGAGCGGGCAATCAGGCTTCACCATGACACTGCACTTTAAATGGGAAGTAAAACAGCAAAAGGCATCCTCCAGATAACACTTTCACCCGTATTTGTCCAGTTACTGAGACAGGCCAAAGGCCAAACAATATTTGAAGTTTCAGAGCAGATTTTTGCTTATAATTGTTCAAGCAACTAACTTCCACAGGTTGTAATTCCAAAAGTAGGGCTTGAAGCCACTCACATAACAGGTGAAAATTTTAAGTCATACACCCAACAGCAGAAAACCCACTTGTAGCTTCTTTGGCAGTGATATTGGGGTATGTGCTTCAGCCAGCCCAAAGCAAATCTGAGTGAAGTCAGAAATCTGCATTTCAATGTGAGATGTGATCAGAAATTACAAATTTGTCACCAGTCTGCTAAATAGGTTTTGAAGGAGTGGATGCATCCACTTTAAACCAGGTGCTCCTACCTTCACAAAGCTGCTCTGACTTTTAATTTCTTGCAGGACTGGAGTCAAAGCAATTTCAGTAAGTAATGAAGGGACTTTTAACTTAATACTTTGGCTAAGCATTCCAAGGTTGACACATTTAGTTTCTGTTTTTCCTCAAAGTCTTCTGGAGTGGCATGCCAACAAAACCTAAAACCAGTAAGATTCTGAAAGAGAAAAGCTAAGTTGTAAAATTAGAAGCTTGAAATTGAAAGATTAAGTTTTTGTTTTTAAGTAAAAAGGTTTCTTAAGTATCTTGTCTTCAAGTTTAAAATAATGTGCTCTGCTAATGACTGTTTCAATGGAAGGTGAGCCACAGGACAGAAAGATGTCTTCATTTCGACATGATTTTGCTGAAGATGACTGTGACAATGGTGACAGCTGAGATCATGCTTCCCACATGTCCAAACAGAAGGAACATCTGAATAACCAAAGGTGGAAACGAGCTGCTATCACATGTACAAGGCTGTAGAATGGCTCTCCTAAGCCACCAGGAGAAGCTGCAGTCAGTGTGATCCCCTGCAGAACACCAACACAGCAGGCACCCCTCCCACCCATCTGCAGAAACACAGAGGCACTGAACAACACATCCATGACATCAGGGGGAGTAAGCCTGTGTTCTTCAACTAGCTTTGCACCTAATTCTAGAAAGAATTATTAAAACAATTTCATGAAACTAATGAGAAGAGTTAAAATATCCATTCATTTTAATTTTATTTTCAAAGAGCTTCAGTCACAAAAATGATTTACAAGTCTATTTACAATTCTATTGTACAGTTATTTATGTATGCCTCTTGACAACAGGGTACCATTCTAGAGCAGCAATACATATTTTAAATACAAAGATGTAGTATCATTTCAGATTTAAAAATAAAAGGAAGCTGAGCTTCTAGAGAGTGCTGTAATGATGAACATTTTAATCTGTGTTAGGCTCGAGGAATTAATGACAAACTAAGTAGTTTCTGGTTCACATAATTATTAAACAAGCTGCAGTTTGTTGAAAATAGTTTTAAAAACCTGAAGCTTTACTGTATATAAAATCAACATATTCAAGACTCTAAAAATTGTCAAAAACCCACAGCTTTCCCTTAGACATACAAAACCCTAAGTTTACAATTCAGAATTTCATGGGAGAAATCCAACAGGACTTGAGCTCTCTCATTTTGTGATGACCAACATAAGCATTAAAAATTTGCAGCATAAAAAGGACTCCACATCTGCTTAGTATTATACTGCATATACACATATACAGTACAGGATTATTTACCCAATTTGGGATGACTGTTCAGCACAACCTTCATGAAGAAAGAAAAAAATAAATAGAATTAAAAATGCAACAACTTTTTAAAAAGTGCAACAGTAAGAGTTTCCAATTTAAAGTTATGATGAATATGGACAGTCAGTTCTGTGGGTTTTTTCAGCCGCTTCTATTCAAGCATTATTTGCAGCATTTTCTTTTTACAGTAGATTTATTTCTATAGTACATGAAACTAGAGTTACTGCTAATTGAATCTGAAGGGAAAGGAAGGAAAAAAAAACTTTAAAAATAACCCTGAGGGATATACAATTTCATGATCTTGTAATTTATTTCTAAAAAGTAACATTTATTATTTAGCAACTGCTTTTCTGGATAGACCAGTCCTTTAAGTATGTGCATAAATAATATTTAAAAATCAGTAATATTTACAAATCCTAATACATCAAAATAAAATACGTACAGATTGAAGTCTGCATACACAAATAATTTAATAATAAATCAAACTCCTCAACATAAGGCCAAAATATACAGCAGGAAGAAAATGTCTACCCAGTATCTAGTGGAGCTCACTAACTTGGTCTGTTCACCTGAATTTAGATTTCCAAGATGAACACTGAAAAATATTTTTTTTCACTACAAAATGAATTTCATCTTACTTCAAAGCAGAAACTGAATACACTAGTGCAGATCTAGTTTGCTGCATTTCTGAAAACCAGAAAAACTAAGCTGCTCAAAATGAGAAAAATTATAGGTGGTCAAATTCAGCTCTTGGGCAGGAAGGCATAAATCCCAATAATTGCAGAAAATGCAAAAGCTTATTTTGTGGCTGAACTTGCAATAACAAGATGGATTCTCAGAAAAGCTGATTTATTATTCCTGACTAAGCGTCAGAGCTCAAGCATGCAACCTCAGGAACATTTACCAACCCTGAACGCAGACCTGGAGGAAACGAGCTCCCATTTGCAAAACATTCAAGTTTACTCGCTCATGAGCCATTAGTCACTCAGTTAAGTGGAGACACTTGGCAATTTCTGTTTTAGTAACAGTTCCCTAAAATGTTCTCTGAAGACAAGCCCACCTTAAAGAGCTGTTTTCCTCCTCACTTTCTAGGTAAGTCTAATAAACTAGAATAAGACTGAAAAACTAGCTTCAGAAACCAAACAAGCCAAGAGAAATTATCAGTCTAGGAAAGTATTAAGCAAAAGCATATAAAAGGGAAAGACACAAATATTTCCTTTCAGTTCTCATGAAACGGCAAATCTAAAATGGTCAGTGAAATGGAAAGCAGAAGCTTATGCGTTTAAGGATAAGTCACAGCTCCCAGGTCCAAGATGCATAGCTTCACAATATTTTTCAACTAAAGTATTATTTTTGTTTAGATTTGAGTACTACTTACGCAGCTAAGAATTATTCTTCATCAGTTATTCCATGCTACAAAGATTTTGTAAAATCAACATCGGCAGAAATTAGCCAACTGACTCAGGTTCATGACTAATTAATGCATCCAATGTTTGCAGACCCTTTAAAAGCCACCAATGTTGTTCAATGTTTATGACCTTATGAAGCCAGGACAATAAAGAACATTGCTCTGTTGAATGAATGCTAAGAAAACCACTTCCCCTTTTCCCCCTGCTCCACTCCTCAAAAACAAACAACAACAACAGAAATCAGGAAAAGAGTTGACAGCTGGACTGGAAGATAGTACACCCATATGCATACTATTTAGGAGGAGCAATAACTTCAACAACCCAGTTCTAGGAAAAGGTCTTCCAAACCATTTAGCACCACTTTTAAATTCCCTGTTGGCACAGTATATTCAACACTGCAGAAACCACAACATGATTGACATTAACATGGTTAATGGTTGATGATTTTGAAGGTCTTTTCCAACCTTAATGATTCTATGAGCAGCAGGGCACACTGTCCATACTGTCCTACAGAACAGCACAAGGGAATTAGGCCTGATCTGAAAAATTCTGCTTATTAAAACAAGGCTGGAATGGAATTGTCTCCACAGGAATTTAAAAGAAGAAAACAAAACAAGACAACCCAGCAAAAAAAAAAAAAAAAGAAGAAGAAAAAAAAGGAAAAAAGAAGAAAATCCCTAAGATCAAAACCTCAAACTCCATCATCAGAATATACAGACTTCAAAACAATCCCAGCCAGCCAGTGCGCTGGGGCCCTCATTCCACAACTACTCTAAAGGACCCCACTTCCTTCTCTAAAGGATCTCTACAGAATCATGACTTCTTCAGACCCCAGATCTCCTCCCAAAGCTTGGAGGTGTCTGGACCAGTTAGTTGCCTCTGGTCAAAACTAGACTGATCAAGACTTATTATTTATCATCTTCCCAAAGACACTAAGGAAGACACTTCCAAACATTTACAAAGTTGACAATGGTTTCCAGATAAGTAATTTGTAGTTAAAAAAAAAACCAACAACAACAACAACAAAAAAAAAAAAAAAAAAAAAAAAAAAAAAAAAAAGTTTTAAGCCTTGCAAGTCAAAGTGCTGTCTGCCTCTACTTCTTTGTAGACCTATTTTTCTAGTGGTCTTGTCTTCTGATACTGCCTCATGGCAAAATGATGTATGGCTACCCCTCTAGTGCTTAAGCAGCATTAGTGGTGATACTA